AGCCACCGCGCCCGGCTGTTTTTACGAGACCCAGGACGGGGCTTGGATCCCTTGTGTGTCCCTTGTCCGTGCCTGCGGTGGGCCTGTAGCTATTTGTAATTCAGTGAGTAACCACCGTCTCACTGTTGTCATGTATTCTGTTTCCCCCGGCCTCCTCCCTCGCCTCCTCCTGGCGCTCTCTAGCCCTTGCCAGCTGCCCACATTCCTGCTGGGTGCTTCCCTGATTTGCCTGCCCCATCCCCCACCCGCACCTTATCTCCTGCCTGTTTCCTCTGACCCCAGGTCAGTAAGATCAGTTTGGTGGACCTTGCTGGGAGTGAGCGAGCCGACTCCTCAGGGGCCCGGGGCATGCGCCTGAAGGTGAGGGGCTTCACAGTGTTGTGGGCTGTATGTGGAGGTCTCCAGTGGGAACATGAGACACTGACTGGGGAGGTAGGAAGGGGAAATGGATCGGATTGGGAGAGCACACTTATCCCCCACGTTCCTTATCCTTTTCCAGGAGGGCGCCAACATTAATAAGTCCCTGACTACTCTAGGGAAGGTGATCTCGGCCCTTGCAGATATGGTGAGGCCTGGGTGTTGGAAAGAGAAGGGGCTTGGGAAAGGGGGGTGACGCACCCTAATCTCCTTCTCCTTTCTATTCCCCAGCAATCCAAGAAGCGGAAGTCGGATTTTATCCCCTACAGGGACTCTGTGCTCACCTGGCTGCTCAAGGAAAATTTGGGTGAGGGCCTCTTCCTCTCTGCCTGCTGACCCTGACACATCCCACAAACTCCTCTGATACGTCTGACAAATCCCCTTGCTATGCCGAGAATCCCAAATCCCGTTGTCTCACTTCTCCCCTTGACCCTTCAAAGAAAACATTCTTCGAAGATTTCCTGATGCTGAGAACAAGGCCATGCCCTCCCGCCAAGCCAAGGGCCCCACTGACCTGGCTACTCATGACCCCTCCCTGATCCCCAATCCCTGATCTCACACCCACTGCTGCACTGCTCACTTCATCCCCCTTCCATGGTTCTGTGACTGTCCTGCAGATGTATCTCCCTGACCTCATTCCCTACCTCAACCACATGTCGTGGTTAGTTCCACCCCACTAGATTCCCCTACCTCAGACCGTGACCCTATAAGACCCCCACCTGGGCAGTGGGCCCCAGCCCCATGACCCGGTCTGACTTTTCTTTTCTTTTTTTTCTTTTTTTTTTTGAGACGGAGTCTCGCTCTGTCGCCCAGGCTGGAGTGCAGTGGCCGGATCTCAGCTCACTGCAAGCTCCACCTCCCGGGTTTACGCCATTCTCCTGCCTCAGCCTCCCGAGTAGCTGAGACTACAGGCACCCGCCACCTCGCCCGGCTAGTTTTTTTGTATTTTTTAGTAGAGACGGGGGTTTCACCGGGTTAGCTAGGATGGTCTCGATCTCCTGACCTCGTGATCTGCCCGTCTCCGCCTCCCAAAGTGCTGGGATTACAGGCTTGAGCCACCGCGTCCGGCCCCGGTCTGACTTTTCTTAGCCCCTACTTCAGCTAAAGCTTTTCCCTGCACTCCATTCACAGGTGGGAACTCACGCACAGCAATGATTGCAGCCCTGAGCCCTGCTGACATCAATTACGAGGAGACTCTCAGCACCCTCAGGTGCGGCTTCTGGCTCTAGCAGGGATGGGGCAGCATAGGAAAAGTGCCAGGAGTTCAGCGAGCTGCTCAGGACCCTGCTCGTGAGACGAGATGGGGGAGATGCCCGAGCCCTGCCACAATATCTTGAGACCTGGGAGAGAGGGAAGGAGAAACAGCAGACCAAGGGTCCCATGCACCCAGGCCTCACCGACCCTTCTCTTCTCTCACCCAGGTACGCTGACCGCACCAAGCAAATCCGCTGCAATGCCGTCATCAACGAGGACCCGAATGCCCGGCTGATCAGAGAGCTGCAGGAGGAAGTAGCCCGGCTGCGGGAACTACTGATGGCTCAGGGACTGTCAGCCTCTGCTCTGGAAGGTCGAGTTTCCAGGGAGGGGCAGCTCAGGGATGCCCCTTGGCCCACCCCATCCCTCCTCCCTTGCCTTTGCCCAGTCCTGGAGCCAGGGAGGGACCACGCGCTATGAAACCCTCCATGTCCTCAGTGACGTGGACACAGATGTGGAGAGTCGGGACGTATGTCTTCAGATGTTACAGGGAGGGACTAATACTCTCGGGGAGAGTCAGGATCCAGAGGGACCTGTCAGGCTCCTGGAACTAATGACCGTTATAGGAAAAAATGGCAATCTGGACTTATAGGTCAAACGGTACATTGTTGAGAAGAGGCTAGGCTACTGTAACTTTCTTGACAGAAGTTCTTGTAAAACGCCAGAGTCCAGGTGGACCATAGCTTAGCAGTTCGCAGTGGACTGCTTTCTGGCATGTCATTCTCAGCCTCGCTGATGGAAACAGTGTCCAAGTCAGAGGATGTGTAATCCGTGTTGACTGGGTCAGGAATGGGCCCTGCATTCAGTCTTGAGATCATTGCATTGAAGATGGTTAGGGTGCTGAGGGCACAGTGCGGAGAATATGAGTGTTCTTGGGAAGAGAAGGAGAAGGTAACTAGGATGTTTGCTTTCCAACATTTGAGGGATTGTCTTGCAGAAGAGAAAGCAGTAAGAACTTTTTATCCCAGAGGGCAGAACTAGAAACACCAGCACACATGACGTGGGGCCAGTTTCAGCTCAACACAGCCAAGAATTTCTTTTTAATTAATTAATTTATTTTTTGAGACGGAGTCTTGTTCTGTCGCCAGGCTGGAGTGCAGTGGCTCGATCTTGGCTCACTTCAACCTCCGCCTCCTGGGTTCAAGTGATTCTCCTGCCTCAGCCTCCTGAATAGCTGGGATTACAGGCGCCTGCCACCACACCTGGCTAATTTTTGTGTTTTTAGTAGAGATGGGGGTTTTGGCCTGGCATGGTGGCTCATGCCTGTAATCCCAGCATTTGGGGAGGCCAGATCAGGCAGATCACCTGAGGTCAGGAGTTCATGACCAGCCTGACCAAATGGTGAAACCCCGTCTGTAATGCAATGGTGTGGTCTCAGCTCACTGCAACCTCCGCTTCCTGGGTTTAAGTGATTCTCCTCCCCCAGCCTCCCAAATAGCTGGAATTACAGGCGCCCATCACCACACCAGACTAATTTTTGTATTTTAGTAGAGATGGGGTTTCACCATGTTGGCCAGGCTGGTCTCGAACTCCTGACCTCAGGTGATCCATCCACCTCAGCCTCCCAAAGTGCTGGGATTACAAGTGTGAGCCACCACACCTGGCCCCACCTAAAAATTTTCTGATGGTGCAAGTTATGTAATAGTGGAAAGGACTGGCCGCCTTCTTCAGTAACAAGCTTTCCACCCCTGGAGTTCATGCAGAGGGACTGGGTGTCCGTTTGTCATGGCTGCAGTAGGAGGACTCCCTGCCTGGTAGGAGGCTGACCAGCGGTCTTCTGTAGTCCTTACAGAATGGTCTTCTGTGAAGCTCTTGGTCTCCTGGATGTCTCTCATCAGCTCCTTCTTTCCTTAGCCTCATTCTTTTTCCCGTTTCCCTCCTAGGCCTGAAGGCGGAGGAAGGGAATGTCGGAAGCGCCCTGCCAGCTGTGTCATCTCCCCCGGCTCCACCCTCATCACCCACCACACATAATGGGGAGCTGGAGCCGTCATTCTCCCCCAACACAGAGCCCCAGATTGGGCCTGAGGAAGCCATGGAGAGGCTACAGGTGGGAAGCTGGAGCTGGCAAGGGCTGGGGCTCTGGGCGTTCCTGGGAGTTTACTTCTCCAAAGTCAAGCTTGAGAAAGAAGGAATTCTAGGAGTAGCATGGCCCCAGGGTAGATTGTCCCTACCCTGGGTCTGCTTGTCCCAGACCATCCTGAAACCTGCCCACCCTTATACTCCCAGGAGACAGAGAAGATAATAGCTGAGCTGAACGAGACGTGGGAGGAGAAGCTGCGCAAGACAGAAGCCTTGAGGATGGAGAGGTGTGAGGCCTGACTGCTGGGGTCCTGGGAGGAGTTGGAGGCCGCGAGGGAGATCAGGTCCCACAGGGAAGGAGGTCACGGGCAGTGAAGGTAAGACTGACATTTGCCTCTCCTCTGCCCACAGAGAAGCATTGCTGGCTGAGATGGGGGTGGCCGTCCGGGAGGACGGGGGAACTGTGGGCGTCTTCTCTCCAAAGAAGGTGAGTGAGGAATCGGGCGAGGAGGCCTAGAGAGCCTCTGGATGCTTAGAAAAGAGGCAGCAGGTGCAGGGTAGTGAATGCTGTCCCTGATCGCTCCCTGTGAGGTCCCTGGCTTGTCCCTCCATCATTTCTGTCCCCACCCTGCCACCTCCTCTCTGTTGTCTAGTCATCCCTGCCTTCTCCCCTCAGCCACTTGACAGTCAGCTTCAGGAGAGGGAGAGGGCCTGGGAAGTCGGAGGTTGGTTGGGATAGAGACTGAGGCACTGTGCATGCTTTTGTATCATTTAGTTTTGTATTCTGTGCATGCTTAAAAAGATAACTAAAGGAATCTATTTTCAAAAGGGTAACTTGGGAAGACTAGACTAAAGGAATAGAGGAGGCGTAAGCACTGCGGTGTAAGACAGTGGTTGCCAGTGCAGCGAGGGGTTGGTTATAGATAGAGGCACCCATGTGGCTTGGAGCTATGCTGCAACTGGTTTCCTGGAGAAGGTGGTTTGGAAAGTGGAACCTGAAAGATGGACAGGACTTGGGGGGTATGGAGGAGTAGGGCTGACATGAGGTTGAACAGCCTGGGGTACGTGTTGGGGTGAGTGGGACATGCCAGTGCCCGACGCGTGCCTGCCGCCAGGTTTTAGGTGCCTAATAAATCTTTGCTGAAAGGAAGGAAGGAACAGGGCAGGAGAGGTCAGGCTCAGGTGGAGGCAGGAATGATACTCGAAACATTAATAACCATCTGGCAGAGGGACTGACCAGTCAGAAAGGACACTGGCTATAGACAGCCACCCTGCTGTACTGGTGCATACCAATGAAGGGATGGTGCAGAGGCCAGTTTGAGCAGGGCATGAACTTCCAGTTCCACCAGGGAACCAGCCCAGCCCGTTGGACCATGGTGTGAAGCAGCAGAGGGTCAGGCCCTAAATCAGATACACTGTGCTCTGGGCCTGATAGGATCACTGGGGGCTGCCTGGAAGAGGTGATGGGTTCTCAGAACAAGGCTCCTCTCTGTTTTGTAAAGTCAGGTCCATCTGGGGAACTAAGCAAGCAGGGATCACTGAACCACTGTTCTGAAAAGAGGAGAGGGGTTTTGCCTTGTCTGGCTGAAGCCACAGTGAGGGAGTGAGAGAGCTGTGGGCAGCAGGCCAGGCTGCTTGTCTGGGGTCTTGTCTGGGGCTGGGTACCCGGGGCTTTGGGGTCCTTCTGAAGGAGCCAGACTCTTCTGGGACGCAGCCACATCTAGGTGGAGAGAGGGGCTACAGACGCTCTCAGCATGGCTTCCAGCCACCTTTGTATACCTGGACCTGGGCCACTTCCACCATTGTCGCAAGGATGGAGAAAAAGCAGAAAGGAGTGGGAGACTGGTGGGGTGAAGGTTTGTTCCTTGGAGAGCTTGCAGAGCTGCCACCTGCCAAAGCCTGGAGACCAAAGAAGGGGGTTCTTGTTTTGTTTTTAATTGTTCTTATAAAAGTAATACACACCAGAGAGAACATTCTAATAGTTCTAAAAGGTGTGTACAGTGAAAAGTCTCTCCGTTTACAGCATTTTGTTATAGAAGAGAAAAAAGTAACTCTCCATCCTTCCCACCCTTAAGTTCCCCTCTCAGAGGCAGCCTTCATTATGAGTTCTTTTTTTTTTTTTTT